TTTTTATTAAATTTTGAAAAATTTTTATTATATGCATATGTTTATTTTTTACCAAAAATAGGATTTACCATGCAGATTATAATAAAAATGATCTACATACACTACCCTTAATATTATAGTATAAATAATATATATAATTACAAAGATGGTTTAAAATAACATTCATATTATTTATAAACTTTTTAAATATATTTTATAAAATATAATATATTAGAAGTAACGATATTACCTAAGCACGCTGCGAGCTAATTTTAAAACAAATTCTGGCCAGCATTGACGAAATATAAAATTTTAAATAACAAATTCCGAAAAAATCCGGAGTAGACTATAGGAAACGAGCAAGAGTAAATCTTGCATACATGGATATTTCAAAGTTTGAAACAAGCATTGTTTCTAAAATTTATTACTATCTCGGGTCAGTTTTCGAAGGAGTAAAATCCAATGGCTGTGGTGACCGTCGCATTTTTATTCGATTAGGTTGAAATGTGATACTTCTACCTACAATCACTTATTTTTATTTTACCAAAAAGAATTTGATTAGAATTTGTTGTAAAAGTAACCAATAAATTCTAGCAGAATTTTTATAACTTGATACGTGTTATCGGTTTATCGATTTTATCCTCATTATTGTCTCTTTTAACAGGATGACCAGTGATACACACAAAAAGTAATATCACTAACAAGGTAATAACCTGATCATTAATTTTCATTGTTTCCTGTCACAAGACGAAATTAATTATGAGTTAACTAGAATTGAAATAAAATGAGCTCTCGTCCCCCTGAAAATAACTTTTCACATTTTCTTGTCTTTTTTCTTACCCTATATGGTCGTGACGGTTACGCGTTATAAACAAAGTTATGATTCAAATGTGCATATACTGTATTTATGGCAAAATTCCGTGGCTTTGAAATGTGGCTTTGATAATCATTGTGGGCTTAGAACATACGGTTTGAGTATTCGAAGAGTGAGAATATATCCGCGGATGCGTATATATATTCGATATGTGAGTACATACGTACGGCTATTACTGATTATATATATCAGATATATCGATATTACGAACGTGACCGATATTACATGATACTTTTAAATCACTATTTAATAAAGCTTTTTCGGCTCCCAACCCGTTTTTTTACAAATATTACAGCCTTGACCTTGATGATTTATTGTGCGTTACTTCGAACATTAATTAATAATAATCCTAGAGAAAGACAAGTTCCAGTAATGCTTAGATTGGAATAAACTTATATCCTTAGCATTCATCACATACAGTAATAATCGAGACACGGATAAATTTCGTAAAAACACCCATGCAAAAGATCATCAGTTGAACACAAAATTTTCAATGCATAATCAGATCTGATGAAATGCTCACCTGATCTTTGAATCATACCACCAGTTATAGATCGTCATTGAAGACGGATCACATGGTGTTAGTGTTAGAGCTAGAGTATCTATCATACAGTACATTATATGTATTATTTGGATTGGCAAATGTTTATTATACAAGGAATGTAACTCGGGTTTCCGAAAGGCTAATTTTCAGCCCGGCTTTTTGTCAAAAATTATGTCATAGAAATACATTATAGAAAGTTTTTCCCAAAGAAACGGTATTTTACAAATAAGCCTCTCTATAATGATAACAATTTAAATTCGTCAAACAATAAATCAGGTTATTCCATACCTTAGTGATAAACAAAGAATTGACCATTACCAAACATGGAGTTATTAAAGACTGACTCCACTCAAGCCTTTTCATAAAAATTGATTAATAGCATGTTTCATGCATTGCGGTTCAGGAAGGTGCAACCAAATATTTATCTATGCATTAAAATAGGAAATATTGTGCTTATCTTTAATAATAAATAAAAAAAGTAACCCCTGTAAGTTGCTCAAGCATCTATCTACTTCTTTATGTATGCTTTACTGGTATCCAATATGCCATCATACGTACTAAGAAATTTTACCAATTCAAATCATTTGATGTTTTAAATTGTAACGATAGAATCGAAGAAGATAACAAAAGTTCTTATACGTATACTTACTATGTACAGCACCTTTACAAATCACCACCCAAAAAGTCATGTGAACTTTATGCAATAATTGTACTACGACGGATTGTTTTATATATCGATGTCGTGCCTCAGATTAACAGTTAATACTTGCGTCAGATTAAAACTGGCCTAAATTAGAGTTAGGGTTAGGGCAGATCATTTTAATGGTGGCCTAATGGTTTTAATCTGACGCAAGTATTAATCTGAGGCACGACATCGATATCGATATACTGTATTTTGGTGCTTTTTTCAGCGTCACGTGTTGTTTGTGGTGAGCGCTTCGTTTCTTTTGGCGTTACGTTGATGTGATACGTAATTTTGTAATATTGATGTCGTAGCCTTTTGTTTTTGTTGTTGGGTGGGTAATTTTTATTGTTGTTTATCGCATGGCTCGTCCGAGAGTACAGTGCTGCAGTGGTGTGAGTGATTCTATAGCAATTTGTTGTAATTTTATCATGGATGTTGAGACTTCGTTCGTTCATTATATAATGGTATTGTTGCAATCCTTTTTTTTTTAATTCCTTTATGTGACACGATTTTGCAAAATATTTCGCAAATTAATAAAAAAAAAAAAAAAAAAAATTCAAAATATATAATATCTTATAGATTACAAGCAAAATAAAGAAATGTTATCTGATTTTTATTGACAACAACTTGCATGAATATTCAGTGTTGTTTTTATTTAATTATTTTACTTTTTCCTTATCAACTTGCATATATAATGAAAATGTGATGTATCACATGACTTTGAAATTTTTGGGTGGTAATTATTACCCAGTTTAATCATCGCGTTGACATTTCCTCTGGTAAAATTTTAAATGACTCTCTACGGGTGCATCAACTTCAGGTATTACTTCTCTGACTTTATCAAAAGATTCCATCCTATTATATACAGCGCGATACACCCCGAGATATTGTAACGTTTTTCCTAGATATTGTACGACGAGTTCAAGATATTCGTCGGTGATACATTCACATCCAGAAAGTGTCAGCCAAGTTAATGGCGCCTTACAATTTTTCAAAAATGATTCAAAAGCTGTCGTGGTAAATGACCATTCTGATGAAATATTTAACCTCCGGAGGCTATCCGGTATAGATTGACCTATCGCTGGCAAAAAGGTTTCCGCATCCAAACTCGCCCCATAAATTGCTAAGTTTTCAAGTTGTTGCGAACTGCTCAAGAGAGAACAAATTGCCGATACCTCTTCGATACCATGAATTTGATTTGATTCAAATTTAGTAAGGTTCGGGCAATTTTTGACAAGCGCGTTAATTACTTGTACTAAATATTTTGTACTCTGCGTGGAACACAATGTTACTTCGCGTAAACTGGTATTGGCATTGTAAGCTAATGATGATACGATGTCAACAGGAAGGTCTGAATTTGAAATATTTAATTGTGATAACTTTGATAATGGTGATTCAACCATTGGACTGCACATCTCTGTAGTCAATCCATCACAACCATCAAATTCCAAAATTTCTAAATTTTTGCAAGCTCCAATCCCGAAGAATGGGGGCTGACCTTCAAATCGAACGTAACTTAACTTTAATCGAGTTAAAGTCTCGGATTGACTTTGCAAGGCTGCAATAATTCTTCCTCCAGTATCGTGTCCGTAATAATCACCATGAAGCTCTAAATCCTGTAAATTTCTTTGTGCTTGAATAAAATCAACCAAGCCTTCTACTTCAACTTCGAATTTTTCAGTGTTTCTACATTGTTTCTCATTATCCCATTCATATACTGGAAGATATGTCTTCAATTGACATACACCATGACAAATTGAGAATTTTTCAAAGTATTTACGTAGCCTTTTTCCAGTAAGAGTTAATCTACGAATATGTTGCAAACAGGATTCGGCTCCCGGGTAAGATGTGATATCATATTTCTCGAGCAACCAGGTTGCATCACAGGAAAATCGATAAATAGCGGGACATCGACTTACGAAAAGTTTCAATAATAATTCTGTAAGTATAAAACGACCTTCGGCACCAATACATTCGTCTCTTCGAAGATTGCACCACCACCACAAATGGTGATAAAGACCTCCAAGGTGAAGAACACGCCGATACTTTGCGTAGTCAAAAGTTGGTGGAGACTCGGTTGAAGGTGGAAGATTTAAGCCGCTATCATTAAGTATTTGTTTTTCATCGTCCGATAAACATGCAATGTATACTTCGACTAATTGTTTAGACATATAAGCATTTGGACTTCTCCATAGGATCGGCACAACTTCCTGACACCAGTGCCAATTAACTAAAAGACACGAGTGTAAAGAAATCTTATCCTCTTCAATACATTCAAATATTTTACGAAGGCAAAGGTTAGGTAAGGAAGACGCCATTTTGCATCACTTTTGGTTATATTTAGATTATTCTTAAGTGGATAGAGAAAGTTTTTACAAATAAATTCTTGTCACTTATCTTTTTATGTCATGTGTGCATTTGCAGGGGTGTACGCAAATTACATAATTTTCGATCATCCATCTCAAAAAAAAAAAAAAAGATATAAATATCGATATCTATTAAAATCGTATGCTTTTTTTTAAAAAAAAAATAAAAAACGTCACCATAGTTTTTCGGAAAAAAATTTTCGGTTAAATTGTATATATAAAGGTTAACTAAACTATATATACTATTTAACCGAAAATATTTAAAATGGCTTCATTTACCAAAGGTGTGACCCCTTCAACCGAAAAGTATGACGGGTCTTCTTTACGTGTCTTGATTGTGCATACCCGTTGGAATTATGAGGTCGTAGAGGCATTAGTTCATGGAGCAACTGAAACTATGACTTCAGATTATAACGTGAAACCCGAAAATATCTCAATCCAATCGGTCTCTGGTTCTTACGAACTTCCTTTTGCTGCACAACAACTTATTGCAGCTTCGAAAATGCGTTCCCAATCGTTCGATGTTGCTATTTGTATTGGAGTTTTAATCAAAGGTTCAACAATGCATTTTGAATATATTGCAGAAGCTGCAAGTCAAGGAATAATGAGGGCTAGTTTAGATAGTCGTGTACCTATTGTTTTTGGTGTTCTTACTTGTTTAAATGATGAACAAGCATTAGAAAGGGCTGGCTTGGGAGACAAAAAGTCTAAACATAACCACGGAATTGATTGGGGTCGGTGTGCGGTTGAAATGGGTGCTAAGAATCGCAATTGGATGTCCGGTATTATTTAAATTAGGGTGTGTGTAGATTCTCATTTAACAATTTAGATTTGGTCTAATTAAGTAATTAATAATGCACCGTAAAATGAAATTAACACGCTTTGCATAAATATATATATATTAATAGATATAACCAAACCTCTCAAGCTATATCTCAGGCACTTTTCTAAACCCATAATGTTAGAAGATCTACTATTCTTTCAAATATAATGATTTTATAAATAAACAGATTCATGCTAAATTACTTTATCTTCTAAATTTATTTGATACCCAGATCCTAAAATTATAATTCTCCAAATTTTTTGTTTAACTTTCAATTTTATTTTGTTATGAATTAAGGACTTTAAAATAATGCTTCGTATGACGCGTAAGAATCTTATTTTTAAAATTGGTATGGTTACTTATTTACATCAAAATTAAGTTTTTATTGTTTCGAGTAATTTTTATTTACTATTTTTATACAAGAAACCTCACATATGGGGTTTTTGCTAACAAAAGCACCCTTCGGGACTAAGTAAAATTTATAAACAAAATTTAATTTTTCTAGATATCTAGTAATCCAATTTGAATAAATATTTTTTTGGTTTGTAAAGCTTAGTGAGCTTTACAAAACAAAAAAATATTATTCAAATTGGATTACTAGATATCTAGAAAAATTAAATTTTGTTTATAAATTTTACTTAGTTCCGAAGAGTATTTTTGTTAGCAAAAAAGACTTCATAATAAGTTATTTTATTAACAAGTATATAAAGCTATATTAAAACAAAAATTAAAAGCTATATTGATTAAATATTGCTATTCTTTAATTTGTAAATTGTAGCAAGTAAATTTGTTTGTTTTATTATGTTATCGTACTTGTAAACTATTTGTGATTTACCTGTTTAAACATTCTGTTCATTAACCTATACAGATTCTATCATAAAATCTACTTAAATTAGCTTAGAATATATTATATTTAATATATTATAGATATTGTAAAGTTAGTTTACCTTGAAGTAAATCTACTAAAACAGTTTATATTTATTTTATAAATTTTTTTTTTTTTTTTAACCTTTTAGCAGGTCATGTCAACATTTTATTTATATAATGTCTTTGACAAAAGACTAATTAAAATACATAGTTACAAAGTAATCTGCATTCTATATATCTAATCTATAATTTTTTAAGTATTGATTCATCTAGTTACCTTATAGGTATCTATGTGCAATCTGCTATAGTAATTTTTTCTCTTCTCATTAATATTTAATCTTTTAAAAAAATATTAATAACTTGAGCAGACACTATAGCTCTTCATAATTCTTGCCTATACAATAGACTATTACCAAACTGATAATAGTTTTTATATAGCAAAAAGGTATAAAAAAAAATAAAAATTATATATAACAATAGATACTAATGCCATATATCATATAATAAAACTACAAATAGAAAATATACAACATATAAAAAACACTTTGTAATATAGTAAAAAGAAAAAAAAAAGAAACAAAGAGATAGTATTCTGCTTCTAGAATATTGTATAAAAATTGTATATCTATAACTAGAGATTGTATAGAAATAGCTACTAAAATATATTTCTAATAAAAACAATTTCTGGTTAAGTCTAATTTGTTGTAATCAAACATGTACTCTAGCTTTGTATCTCCAATCTAAATATGTATATAAGTATGACTTGTTATTTGGCTAAGATATATATGTTATTGTTGTTTAGTAGGTCAATATAATTATTTTCAAAATAGAAGTAATACAAATATTGATCTTTTGAAGAGAGTAAGCCAAATTCCTATTTTTTGTGTAGCAGAAAAGTATTAAGTAAAGTTGAATTCAAAAGAGAGTTAGGATTAGTTCTTTATAATTTAGAAAGTATGTTGCAAATTTTATATTCTAAATTTTTATGATAAGTTTTCTTTGCTAAAGTATTATACTACTAGAAACACCTTTTTTTCTAGCTTGGATGCCAAATAGTATAAAGGAGTCTACTAGAAAAAAAGTTTAACCTCTACTAAAACTGTGGAAAACTGAAGTTCTTATTCATACTATTATCTCAACTAAACTTCTTACTTTGTTGATAATATAGTTTGTAACAAATATTATGTAAAATAAAAATTTTTTATATAAAATATTGTATTTATTTTTTATAAAATTTTTGATAAAAGTGATCAACAGAAAGAGTTATTGTTTTATAAATTTATCTAAATTAAACTTTTGTAAATATTCATATAATCTTAGATTTTATTATAATTTTTTATTAGTTGATTGATTTAGTCTTATTCTAATTTTTAGCTAATTACTAGTTACTTTTTATCTAGTAAATTTGAAACTTTTTATTTTTATAAGATAAAGTTTTCTTTTTAGATTAGACTTTAACTAATATGACTTGTAAAAAGACTATATTTATTATTAATTCAGAACTTTTACTATATAGATTTCTTGTTTATATAATTTATTTATATTTCTAAATTTAGATTAATTTGGTATAATTTAATTTATAAAAATATACTTTAAAAAACAAACAAAATTTACTATAACAGATTATAAATCTGAGAAATTATTCAAATTTGTTAACAATAAAATTTGAATTTCAAACTTATTATATAGTAGTCTGATAATTTAATTATTATACTAAGATTACTAAATCTTTTTTTAATAATTATATTATTATATTATTATATATATTTAGATTTATTATTATTATTTTTCTTAATAAATTAATAACTAAAAATTAATTTAGATTATACTATTAGATTTAGCTTAATTAGATCTTTTTAACTAGCTATAATTCATATTTGTAAAATATTTTGTTTTTGAGTTACTTTAGAATTAACTTTAGTATAATTTTATAATTCTTATAGTTCTTATAGTTCTTATAGTTCTTATAGTTCTTATAGTTTTTAAAGTTCTTATAGTTTTTATAGTTCTTACAGTTTTTATAGTTTTTAAAAAGTTACAGTACTGTTAAAAATAAGTTACTTCTATTAACTTCTTATAATTTAAAAGCTATTATTATAAATTTTTCAAAATAAGTAATATAATTTTTTTTTACCTTTCAGCAAATCATACCAATAGACCTGTAGGTCAATAGTGCAGTGGTTAGTGCTTCTGAGTTATAATCACAAGGTCACAAGTTTGAATTTAACTAGGGACAAGGCTTTGCCAAGACTATGATTGAAAATAAGATCTTCAGAGAACTTTCTCATTTAAGAAAAGAACAAGATCTATTAGTATAAAAGCAGTTTACTGACATAACCAAGGTATTGGAGACAACTAGATAAGATGAATCTGTTAACAAATGATGTTAACATTAAGAAAACCTAGCTTAAGAACTAATAAAAATAAAAAAATAATCTGGCTAGTAGGTCATATGAACTTAAGGAACTGTAGATCTAAAGAATATAAGTCCTACATTGCAGAACCAGGAACCTAGAACATCATATAACAAACTTAATGAAGTATAAGCTATTTCATAAGTTTAGTAACATACAGAAGCTTGTAGCCTTCTATTAATCTCCGCAGAATGATAACTTTGACCTTAAAAGATATAACAGATTCTAAAGTATCTAAGGATCTTCAGAATAGCGGAAGAAGGTAAAAAAAAAAAAAAATCATACCAATACTTTATTTGTATAATATCTTTGCAAAAAACTAATTAAAATATATAGTTATAAAATAATCTATACTCTATATATCTAATCTATAATTTTTTAAGTATTGACTCATCTGGTTACCCTATAGATACCTATATATGATCTGTCATAGTAATCTTTTTTCTTCTTATTAATATTTAATCTTTTGAAAAGAAATTAAAAATTTTAGCAGACATTATAGTCTATTATGACTCTTGTCTATACAATAAACTACTACTAAAAATAAACTCTTTCCTGTAGATCATTTTACCAATAATTTAGGAAAGAAAAATAACAAAATACAGAAAAGTGCTACCTAAATATACTAAAAATCTGGCCTGACAAGGCTAAAAATACTAGAACACAACTACTAAGCTCTACAAGAAC